AAGGGGAAGGGGAAGGGGAAGGGGAAGGGGAAGGGGAAGGGGAAGGGGAAGGAGGGGCATCACATACCGGGCAAGACATGAGTGATAGAAGTGCCAAAGTACCGTTTAGAGGAGACCGAAAAGATGGTCACCAACATATCACAAGTTGTTGACCAATTACTCAGCTCTCGAGGCCCGACTGCACACACTAGAGACAAGATTGTCAAGGTTGACAATGACCTACCTATCATCCAGGGGGTATTCTATCTCAAGCTGTTGAAACTGACTGGCTGTACGCAAACACCAAGATTAACCAGGCTCAGGTGAACTTTGACAATGTGGTGCCTTATGATGATGAAGATGTGGAGCAAGGTACGTGTGCACCACAATTAGTATGAAATGTTCCATTGAAACAGCTTACGGTACACATGTGGCAGATGGACTAAGCCAGGCTGAATTCTGCGTAATCTTAGCTGAGAACACTGTGCTGGTCTCAGAAATAATGCAACCTGTTGAACAGGTAGCAGAGTGTCAGTATGCTGATCCAGGCCCAGGCACAAGTGCATACCACATGAGCCTTGATGTGCAGAAACAAGAGCAAGCCCTTTCTGGTCTGGGCGCTGAATATGGTGCAGATGGAAATCTGTACTATTACTTTGTCGATGTGTCAGGTTAAATCCAAGGTTTTGCAATGGAAGATGACACATGGAAATGGCAAGGGGGGGTACAACGGAGATGATGAGAGTCAGGAATAATAAACACGGTGGGATAGCAGAGTCTGGGAAATGTGGTGAGAGAAAATATTCACTTGGAACATGGACAGCCAGTGAAATGAGAAAAACACATACTATGTTTTGTAGTCTCAAAATTGGAATGTCTTGGTGTTGGAAATGCACGAGCAAGTGGAGTTAGTCATCTTGAGGGGCCAGCTCTGACTCTGGAGCACCCTGCTGTGACAACACACAAATGAGCAGGATACCAATAAGAAAGAGAATACATACATGGTCATACACAATGGTGAGGCACCAATTGCGCCCCTGCACATTGATGGGTGCAAGCACAAGATGCCCTGTTAGCTTTTCAATGAGAACCACCTCTGGGGCCTGCCACGCAGCAACACCGAGATCAACAGCACTACGCGGCTGCTGATCAGTAATCCAATCAGGGAAAAAGATGATACTCACCGTAGAGTCCACAGAAACTGTGGGACATTCTCACCTCCCACAAACCCTGTAACAAGAGCGATGTTAGCTATGAGAGGAGGGCTGTGGTTTTAAGCCTAAGTGGCCTGCATGCGATATTGAATGTCAACTGGTTTGCGGTTGAAGATGTAAGCATAGCGGCTTGATGTCCCACAGTGATGGGTTGCTGCTCTGTAACGGAGATTCTTTCAACAGATGTGGGAGTGCAACATCGCCCTGACCTGTCGTATCTGTGCAGGAACAAAGATCAGTGAGATCTTGCCAATATGCCTGCAGGAACTCAAAAACAGCATCATGAAACCTCTCATCAATGCTCAAGAGCTCAAGCTCCTGAGTGTGAACAGCAAAGACAGGCTCATTGTGACCTGGCAGCGGTTGAGGTGCTGCTCCTTGCGCAGATTTCTTTGTGGACTTTTGACACTTCTTCAGCATGGATATGGTATCCTTGTCGTCAGGTGTTTGATTAGGTAATGCCTCAAGTTGTGAGATCTAGCCAGGATGGTGCGATAAGACAGGGAAGTTACAGAAGCAGACCACTCACCAGCTTGTGGTTGAAGGTACTAGACCACCACTGACACATCAAGGTCCCATCCAGCTCACCCCCCTTGTGCTGATTATGGTTGATGCGTGAGAGCTTACCATTGTTCTGCTCATATGGAAAAGCCCATCTCCCGTAGCACAGCCCGTACTGATAGAACTGGCCCTCCATGTGTTGAACAGAATGGAAGTACTGTGTGAAATGAATGTACATGTGTGCCCACAACTGGCAAGCCCAAGCTAGATCTGCACAGCCACAACACACGTCTTGTGGAGAGACAGATCAAGTGGCGAGTATACAGATAGTGGCTGAGAACTCAATAATGGTCATGTAGTGATGTCAGAGATTATAATCAGGTGTGATGTCATCAAGCACGTCCAGAATGTCAAGTGGAGTATGTGGATCCTGGACAAGAAGGCCTTCTTGCAGTTGAGAGTGTATAGTCTTCTTGTACTCAGTCTGAGCCTTGTAATTGTTGGTGTTGGATGCCAATGGTAGTGGATCTGCATCAGGTATTTCACCATCTTGCTTTCATGCTACAAAAAGCCCAACAAACAAAATGGAGATAAGGTTTCTCCACTGGTCGGCTTTAGGACAGCCCTTCCTGTGCGCCATCTATTACGATAATAGCAGTCAGAAATTAGCAAAACAGCTGCAAAATGAGGATATGACATACAGATGGGGGCAGATGTCCAGCTTTGACTGGCCAAACAAGTTGATCCAGAAAGCCTTTGAGCTTCTCAAGAGGTTTGTGATGATGATATCTGTTGAGGAGGCCGTATTTATAGAGGATCATGTTACTAACATGTCAAACAAGACCTGTCAAGGGATAAGTTAGAAGAGAAACTGAGGAATAGAAAGGGTGTTACCGAGAAAGACACCATGCATGAACTCCACCAGTGCACTATGCAATGGCATCCAGCCTGGCAGATAGTTTAACAAAGACCAAGAAACACCTCACCTAGTCCATATCTCATCAGCACCCTCAGGGTCTGCATGAGCCCATGAATGCATACTTGAGATGGTGCCAGTCTTCTTGAAGGCAGAACTGAGAGAGGCCATAGCAGGAAGGAGATGCAAGCTTGTATGTGGTAGTGTAGCATTTGTTGCACATGAAATGCTTGGAGGAGTGGCCCAAGGTGCCATTGACCTTGCGAGTAGATAGGAGATTGGAGCAGTTTAGCCAGAGATAGACATGAACAAGCATGCAGTTGGGGAAACCATGGACAGAAAACTCAATGCCGCTGCTGAGTCATGTCATGCTGGCAATGAAAATGTCCAAGAGGTTGTTGAGCTGCAGTAGGGTGGGTTCATTCAGGCTGGGGATGACTATGAGTAGCATGGTTTCCTTGGGAAGATGGCGAATATTGCGAGGGTTGTTGCATATGACAGCATAGAGAGTGCCAGTGGAATGATTATTGTGTTCCATGGATTGAAACCTGCATGGTAAGACAACAAGGAGAAGTAACCAATGAGCAGTTCACCAGTCAATGTTGAAATGCAAAATGAGCCTGCATGGCAGCAACACAAACTGCTGAGTGAGCTCAAGGGTATTGACATCCTCTACTCCCCACTGACTCTCTTGGTTTTGTTGCTGCTCCATTCCTGCTTGGATTGCCCTCCATCCCCACCCATCATATACGTTCCATCATTGGTGTTATTGAATCATCAAACGTGTTGTATCCGGTGGCTTTGAGTGGTGGATTGCAACCTGGTTTATTGCCGGGCCTCCTCCACTGTTGCAGCTGGTCCCACTTGCCGGGATGCAGCAAAACGTACTGCAGCACACACTCGAGGGGGACATACGGCACTACCAGGCTGGGTGTACACTTGACGGAACCATTGGCAAGCTTTTTGACGCTGTGAAGTAGTCCAGGACAGTCTTTGCTGAGGCATTTGGGCAAATCAAGGGCAGAGAGCTTGTTGGAATAGTGGGTAGCCCAGCACACCAGACATACAAAGAGGTAAACAATAAAGTTGAGGTTCAATCGACCTAAGCTCTTGAGCACCGTCGGCATGGTGCATGCAGAGCCATCAAGGCCAGGTAATTCAAGACTGGGAATATCGCAACACATCACCTCAAAGAGACACTTCTTGCAGTTGAGCTGGAAGTGAACACTCTGCAGTGTGTTGCCATGTAGGGCCACACTAATGAAGGCCTTGAGGTACAAGTTCCAAATGTAAGTGTGGTTATTGAACACTTCAGGCCGCTGATTGTGGTTGGGAAGTTTGAGGTCTTTGATGTTGGAGAAGTCAAAGTCCTTGAGCGCTTGATATAATTGCTCATGGGCCGGCAAATTGTCTGGAACATTGTCAGCGGGTAGCTTGTGACCATCATTGCTGTTGTTGTCAAGGCCCTCCTCAGTCACTGCAGGAATTTCGGATGTTTGCATGAGTATGCCGACGTTCTCGTTGCTTGAGTAGCCACCAACATTGTCTGGATCACAAGAATGTGTGCCATCCTCCGGATCCTCAAGTGTCCAGGTCTTTTCGTTCTTCAAGAGTTTAACATAGGGTTAGTGTGGCAGAAATAGCATACAGCGTACCTGAGCATAGTCCTCCTCATCCTGTAACTCCCAATTCCCTCCAGTTGCCTCAATGCCTTGTACTGGAGGCTGACCTTGTGGTTTAGCAGTGAGTACCTGAGGATCAGCAGTGGTCTCTGCACTTGACAGACCCATAGCCTCATCCTGGAGCTTGTGCAGGTGAGTCACCTGCTCAGTTTGTAAGCTATACCTGTTGCACCCTCCATGACATCGGTGTGACTGACAGCGATATTCAACGAGAGTGTCTTGCTTGCGCTTTGAGGGCATAGTGGGCCAGTAAGGACGTCAAGTGAGTTGATGTATGCAGAAAAATGGTGGGCGGGGATGGTGGTGGTTCAGGGGCAAAGTCAACAGTGAGGCTTAAGGGCGTAGAGCTTGTTGTGTGTTCAGGAGGACACATGTGCTGGCTCAACAGTCAGTTTTGTGACATATGGAAGGTTTGGACAATCAGCTCATGATTGACAGTGCCAGAAGAGGCAATAAGTCAAAAACACGTTCACCACTCGGAAGCTTCAAACACGCGGCTGATATACAGTTGGATATACAAGTAGCCTACTGATTTCAACTATATAATGGCAGCTGAAAATCTACTCCAATTTCTAGTGCTGAGAACCAGGATATTTGGGCAGCCAATATACATGCATATGGATGGGGACCAGCCTGGATAAGTGGTGGGTGGGCATTGTATAGAAGTGTTGCATGGCTTGGTAAAGTCTACATGGGCAGAGGTTAAAAATGTGATGAATTCTTGCATTTGTGTGATCCTGTGTGCATGGAGAACAACAGTGTGGTGAATGCTACAACAGAATAGGTTACAATACAGGTAGATACTTTGGATACACTGGGATGTGGGCAATCAAGCTCAGTGAAAAGTTGCACTATGAGGATTGATGAAGTTCTGTCTAAATATATTTATTCTATGGAATTTGATGGCCGGGTGGCACTTATGAACTTGAAGTTGTCAGTTCTGGCAGCTGATTTGTATCTGGCAACCACTTTCTCAACTCATGTGAAACCGGGCCCCTTTGGACTGCAAATGGGCTTATAATCAAAGTAGTCTACAGTTAACCTGAAGGGGCATGCAAATTTCATTCAATCCAACTAAGCTAAATTAAACTGGAGTCCCGCCACATAGAACATAGGGGAGTTTTCTGCATTTGGCATCAGAGTCTGAATCTCAATTTGTGTCAGTGTCAATTTCTCTTTCCTCCCTTTTCTGTTTCTTCACCGCTCTGCATGTACTGTCAAACATACAGGATGATGCTTTTGGGCACAACACTTGCACTGGGCGACTCCCTCTGACAGTACATACTGGATTTGGACCCAAAAACTAAAATGCACTTAACACACTGCTGAGAAAATGAACTGTGCACATGTCAGCTACTAACCCTAACCCTATCCTGGAGTAGTGCAGCAGCTCGTACCTCAACAAGGCTAAGTCAATTGAGGTCTGCAAATCACGACCACTTGACAACAACAATGAATGCATCATAAGGCTTGCCCCTGTGATTGATGCCACACCAGGAATGGGGGAGACCCACTCTACATGGTTATTGTGACGTATAAGGCTTACAATCCCAGTGACAGACAACTCCAGGACCTGCCACAGACAGCTAAAAATGTCCTTCATGCATTGCACAAGGCAATCTCTCATTCAACCCAAGCTATTGCTGGACCATCCAGTGTCCCCGGTCACCAATCACCTTCACCTTTGCTCCCTGCTGAGCAAGAGTGGCTGTCCAAACAAGCACATGTAGAGGACATGCCCGAAGATGAAGCTGACGGGATGGAGTACAAAATTGAGATGCCGGATGCACAGGATGGAGCAGCTAATGACCAGGCAACCAAGCAGATGAGAGATGTGCGTGCTCATTCACTCCCGTATTTTGACTAACCTCACACTTATACATACTTAGGACTACACAATGCCCCTCAATCCCCAGGACATCGACATGCATCTCCAGGACACCCTTGATGAGGACATATTGCATATACAGCTTGCTCTTGTAAACATATTGATGCCTCTATTTGTGGATACTCACAATATGTCAGGACACGTTTACTTTTGAGGAAGCACCATTTGAGTACACGGATGAAAACCCTGAACCAAATGACCTTGATGTTGACAAGTTCTTTAACCCGGAAGAGCAAGGGATGGAGCTGGCAGACCAAGACACTGAGCCACAGCAGGTACAAAATGCACAGGCTGCTAGGGATGCCACCACAGAGGCTCAACAAGGCTCCAAGACCAAGACAATCGAGAGATCTCACCTGAAGCTATTGAACCTCCCCCACCTGATTAATCTACTAAACCCGATGTTCATGCTACCTCCAGCTACATGCATCAAGAAGTTGACAATATCCATAGGAGTATTGGCATTGAAAATGTCAACCTTGCCCAGGGCTACATCAACCTGCTCAAGAGTGCAAAAATAGACAACCCTCACCACAAACTTTCACCGGAGGCCCATGCACACCAATCCAACAACAGGCTTTGTTGATCTCTCTCAAGATCAAGCCCTCCACATCTCTCTCCACTATATGCCTGGCAATCCATCAGATGCGCGGTATACTGGCAAATGCAGGAACATCGAGAAAGAGATTCCTGGCCTCCAGTGTCTCAGTAAGGACCAGGTCCTCAAAAAGCTGGCCAGGATGACAGGTGTCAAAGAAATGAGGTCAGATATGTGTATTAATACTTGTGTCAGTTTTACAGGTCCTCTAGAGCAGGCTGGCAGCTGCCCCAAGTGCCATGAACCGCAGTACGAGCCCCGTCAATCTGTTAAACATCCCCTTGTTGCCCAGCGTACATTCATTACATGTCCACTGGCCCCTGTTATGATTCCCCCACCAAAGCCATCCCCCGAACCATATAGATTATGAACATGTTAGACTAGTCTACCATAGTAGTGCCCTGGAGGACAATAAACCAAGATGTTGAATTGAATTGAATTACATGCCCACTTGCTTTTATCATTCAGGCTCTTTGGCAACATCCTAACAGCGCTTCTAGAATGTGTTATCAATATCTGCTAACTGAGATCATCCAAGATCACCTCAGGGACAGCAACAACATTGATTTACAGGTTTTTAATGACATCATTAAAGACCACAACTACCTACAAGAATGCAATGCCGAGCGCATCAGCAAGGGCAACACAGTGCTCATGTTCTCAATCAATGGTGTGCCGCTTTATGCATGCAAGCAATCAAATTGCTGGATCTATATATGGGTCCTTTTTGACATCTCACCCAACAAGCACTACAAGAAAAAGTTTGTTATTCCAGGCACTGTCATTCCAGGGCCAAACAAGCCCCAGAATCTTGACTTGTTCCTTTTCCCTGGTCTCTACCACCTTGCAGCTGTCCGGAATGAAGGTCTTGTTATCTTTGATGGGGCCGAGAACTCCATTCGCACAACTTGGCTCTACCTCTATGTCATTGTAGCCGATGGACTGGAGATGGCATTGATGATAGGTCTGGTTGGCCACAGCAAATACTCATGTTGGCTCTACAGTGGATTTCCTGGACAACAACCTGACAAAAACCACACTATTACCCTGTCATGAAGAAACCTCAGAACTACTGCGCTCGAGGATGTCTTCACCCAAGCATCCACACACACAATCTCCCTGCTGCTGCTTCAGGAGACTATCTCAACAACCTTGCATCAGTGCTCACTTGCACCAATATCAATGAATACCAGAAGCAGCAACTCAAAACTGGTATTGTCAAACCAACTATCTTCTCTGGTCTCCTGTGCACACTCCCGACATGGCACCCTCATGCATTGCTTGACCATTTTTCTTCCCGGCTCCTTTGATCACCCCCTCACAATATTGCAAAGAAACTGGTTAGCAGATATAAGGCATGGGAGTGGCTCTTCTATCTCTATGGGATGGGACCAGCATTGTACATAGGTAAGATTTCTTTTTTCTTGTTGTTTAATTGCTAATATTAGTGACAGATCTGCTACCTGAAGAGCACTATGTGAGTTTTAGTTGGCTTGTTCACGGCATTTGACTCTTATCCCAGCATTCTATTACTGCTGAGCAGGTTTGCGAGGCACAGGCTCACCTCAACACATTTGCTGATGAATTTGAGAAACTATACGTCAATTGCAGCCCCAATCACCTTCACTTTGTCCAACCATGGATTCACGTGCTCACACACCTCACCCATGAGGTCGTCAAGAAAGGTCTGCCAATATGTGCCTCTCAGTGGACAATGGAGCATGTAACCGGAGATCTTAGGCAGGAGATCCACTCACATGTCCATCCCTACGCCAACCTTGCCAACCGTGCACTCCACTGTGCATGAGTCAACATGTTGAAGGCACTCTACCCTGATCTTGATGATGATCCAGATGACAACACCTTTGCCAAGCTTCCCCTAGCATTGTGTGATGTAGGGGAAGGATATGTTGTTCTTGCTCACAATGAACAATCCTTGAAGCCTGTCACCCCACCGGAAACAGCTGCCATATCAACCACATTCCACAAACTTGGCCTTGTTGTGCGAGGAACACCATCCATTCAGTGGTGGGCACACATTTGACTACCATGTGGGCAAGTTGCCCAGTCCACATGGAAGGAAAACACCATGACAAAAGCAGTCCAGCAATCTCACAATGTAAAGGTAAATACACATCCAAGACCCTATGTTCCTTACTGACATCTTCCTATGCGGAGGTTCATTACTAATTCGTTGCTAAGGTCCACAATGCCACTGTTGCTTTTGCAATGGTGTCACTGTATGGCTGCCCCTATGCAGGGCTTTGTGAGCATTCACTTGACACATTCAATATTATGGAGATGGTGCACTCTGTGTTGTCAGTGTCAAGTGTATTCAGTCAGTTGTGGCCATAGTTCCCCACCAATTTGCGGACCATGATGGCATTCTCCATTTTGCTATTGAAAAACTGGGCCTGGATGTTGCTGTGTTCGGTGCTTTAGAGGAATCCCCTTCTTCTGGGCCACTCACTTCTGATCTGAGTTAGTTTTCTGTGTTATTATTGTACATACATCAGGAAAAATGATTTGTGATGCAGATGAGAGAAGCATAATAACATATATATATTGTCACCACTGTGTGTGTGTGCCTGTTGCATGGTAGTTGCATCTGCAACAAGGGGGTGGCTATAGGAGGTGTTCCTCCTAGCCCACTGGCCAGGCTGCAGGTGCACCCTGCCTTACGCTCGCAACCAACTTGTGAAGAAAACATGTTCACCACAGTACATGTTCACAGAGCCAGCTGCAAGTGGCAAAGGTGCCCCTGAGTGGTGTACAGCCCAAAGAAATTGGGCACATGCATGCACGCACACAGTGCACACACACACGCATGCCCATACAAATATATATACAGCTTAGATAGTATGTCCTGTATGCTGTACATATGTGCATGCGTGCACACAGTGCACGCAAATGTGCAAGGTTTGCAGAATGGGGCACTTGCACCCACCTCCGGAAGTGGTGATAGAACAAGTTGAAGAGAGCGTCGCACACACATTGAGCGATACTGGTGGAGTTTGAAATGCACAACCAGGCAGAGGCAAACATATGCTCACCGCATCTGGTGTCACCATGCTGTGTGTGTCATATATTCATTGTGCAGACACTGAATAGTATGTTGATCAAGACATGCCCATTGTTGCTTTGGCCCACACTGGCACATCTGTTGTAAATAATATCAAACATATTTAATTAAAATACTATATATTGTGTCATGCTCAAAGATGTTTGAGTCAAACATGTTCCTTTGACTGGTCTACATACAGGGGAGCAACAGTACAAGAAACCATCAAGAAAGCATAGTGACACAACACTGACAGTGTGCAATACGACATGTGAAATGAGTCACAAGCAGTGCAACAGAGGGCATAAGCGTCCCATTTGGTCTGTTTTGATGGGACCACTGGCATTGGACTGTCCTCCTCATCCTCTGCCTCTTGATCTATCCGTCCAAAAGCGCACTGGTGTTCTGGTTGATGGTAGCAGTGAACAGCACAGTGTTGGAGCGAATGAAGGACATAGATTGAGCGGTGATAGTGACAGAGAAGCCATGATGACGAGTAAGGTAGAGTACAGAGAGAAGATTGGAGCGCAGGTCAGGTACATGCAGCACCCTACTAAACTCTACAGCCCTCGCTTCCTTCCCTCCCACCCTAGGACAGAACACCACAGACCCTACACCAGCTGAGTAGACCACAGTGCAAGGCAAACTGGGACGCGCATGGGCGTGTAGGAGCGCAGCCAGTGACGGTGAGGGGTCATATGAGAAGTGGCGCCTGTGTCTGCAATCCAGTCAGCATCTGCATCGAGCTGGAGAGGACAGGTGGGACTGGTGGGGGGAAGGAGAAGAGCGAAG